CTAGCGATGTAAGCAGTGTCAGGAGTTATGTTTGACAGCCATGTCCTTGTGCCGGGAAATATGATTTTGTGAATGTTTTTGATTTGGAACTTAAGGTGAGTGAGACGGACAACGCCCAAAACAAGAGTGCAGGTAGGGCCCCGTAGCAAGCGTGTCTTTGGAAGATATCAAGATATCACCCAAGCTTGAACTGTTTCGACGTAAACCGGTACAGTAGAATATATAGAATCTACATCTAGAGGCCAACATACTGTTAATCGCTGCGTCACTTCAACTCGTTGGTCCTGATTGTAAGCAGCCTAACTACGCTAATTGGTGGCATATCCGGTCATATTTCAAACTGGATATATTCAGAGACCATATGCCATTTATGATATTGATTAAAGAACGAAAGATTATCTTTCATACGTGTGATACTTCACTGACAAATCTTATGAATGTGAACGTCCCATTCATAAGATTTGTCAGTGAAGTAATCAAGTATCACAGCAAACGAGCACCTGCATTAGATCTGCACAAACAACAACCCCTGTCCATCTCTAGTAGGACTGCACGATATTATCTCCATCCCACAAAGAAAAAGAAAGAAAGGCTAACCCAAACCTAACCCTAACCCTGAGTATTAATGAGAGGAAAGGATTACTGGTAAACATGGTAAAATTAGTTAAAAGATAAGGTAAAGTCAGATTAAATGGCAAACATATGCTACAATCGCACCATTTGAATAATTTACAAACAAACAAGATCTTTCATTCAAACTGATGTTTCCCTTTGAGCCATGACATGATGAGTGACAAATCAGACTGTGACTTTAACCTAACATATATACTTGACCCTGTACACTCATGCATTTAAGCTTAATCGGGCTAAATGTTTTATTAATTTGTCTCTTAGTTTATGTAAAATAGAAATTTCCATGTTGAAATATTTGATTTCAAACACCAAATAAACATCTAGTATACATCACCCACAATATACCACTTGACAGTGCTCAGCACTTTCCCTAAACTACAGGAGGGGTGGGGGCAGACAGGGTAAGAAACCTTTCAAACTTCCCCACTAGACCACAGGACCAGTGAGTGGACAATAATTAGTGGTCCTGTCCTTACTTCACTGGTACAAAATAGCATTCGTTGATTTACTTACCGGGGTAACTATCATTACAAAATTCACTGTCCATCAGGACCACTGGGTGTCACCTACTGCATCTGCATCATCTCATCGGCACCCTGTAGGGTAAAATATTCATCATGGAAAATCAGTTTACATTTTATAAAGTCTCATCAGTCACTTTGCATACATGTATGCTTCACTGATTAAGAATAAGAATATGACACAGGAGAATCAGGGTTTGAAATACCCCATATATTAGTGTGCCATGGCACGGTAAATACTCAAATGGCACAGATAAAAATTGTTCTCGGTGGCCTTATGGCACGCCTAATTTGTTTTGAAACATAACTCACCTTTAATCATTGAATCCCCCAAACAATAATTCTTTTCAAAAATGAATAATGCCATACATATCTAAATGCTCATAAACCCATTTCTTTATTTAACAATAAATCCAAAATGATCATCATCATTGTCATTTATTCTAAAAACATGTGAGCACACTTGATTTCTGAAAGGCACGCTTATAATATTTGTCTGGTGCCCTAAGGCACACTTACAAAAAAAACTATTTCTATCCCTGAGAATGCTTACATCCTTCCAATAATCTTGTATATATACTGAGAGAAACAGATAGAGGATCACAGGAACATTCAAGCGTTCCTTTAATATTTTCCCGTTTTCATCACCCGCTTTGAATAGCACAGTAGTGATGAAAACTGGAAAATAATATAGGAACACTTGAATTTTCCTGTCATCCTTTATTTTCTCTCAGTATATATACTGGTAGGTTAATTTAAAGGGGGTCTACCCTCGACACATTAGCAGTACAATTTATTCATTTCAGTCAAAACAGACTTTGTCTGCTGACCAAAATTTTAGATACAATTTATTTAAATCATGTAAACTATTGTGAATTTGATGAATAATTTAATTCTGCAAAATACTGTTCAGTGTCTTAAAAAAGTGTCAGTAAAATATATTTGCTACCCTATATACTTTTCCTGATCAAATACTACTAAACTGGTTCTGTATGAATTTAGACTGAGTCTCTGTGAAGTCAGAACCCAGTCTGGCACCTGGTATGGGCTGTTAACTGGCAGCAAAGACAAGATTGCTTTTTACTGTTACAAGACATTTCACAGTAGTATGTTTATTGTTCCATTTAATTATTGAGGGTATTCTTGTATTGATTTATTGGGATTGTCAGTTCCTGACAAATCATTTCCAATATTGCACCACATTTCATGAAAAATGAGGCAACTAAAACTGGAAAGTGTCCCTATGCTTGACTATCACTGTCTTGTATTATGGAATATCACTTTTATAGCACCTCTTGGGGGTAGTATGTAGTGGTGGTCCGATTAATTGAAATAATCGAAGATTGGTCGCAGTGACTAAACGACCAAGCAATCGATCATGTTTTCTCATAATCGAACACAAACAATTCTGGAACACTTGTTTTCATAAACAATATTTTTCACAAGGTTGGTTTTGTCTGTTACATTTCATAAGCACTACAAGCTCGTTTCAAGTCATGATTGAATTTATCTTAAAGACTCCAAGAAATTTATCTTCCTGACATACTAGTCATCCTTTAAAGATGTGAAATTTTGCCAAAAAACCCCAAAAGAACTACATGTTTTTTCCTTATTTGTATAAAAAAAATTTCGATGATTGATCGGTTGTAATAAACCAATCATCAATTATGAGATTTTAACCAATTCCCAACACTAGTAGTATGTATTCATTCACAGATATTTTCTAATACTAAACTACTGATACTAGTGTAAAAATGCATCTCAAGTTAATACTGAATCAGCATTTCTACAGCCTTGACCAGTTAATGTAGAACCTGTGAAAAGTAAGAATCATATACAGGTGCAACAGCTATTGCCTGTTTTGTCTCAAGATTTGCAGAACATGAATTTTTGTAAAAACACTATTTTGAATAAGATTATATAATTAAAATAAATTTAGGGAAACAACATAATTGCCATGATTGGCTAAGCAGTAAGCTGATGAAGCCAGTAAGTACATAAAGGATAGTGAGAGAGGAAGCCAGAGATGTAGTTACAATGAGATGTTTATACAATGGATGCGATGTTTATATACAATAGACTGGGCTTGGTGGAGGAGTGGATCATAAGCAGATGGAATGAAGTATCCTTTGGTCACGGTTGAAGCATCCTTGGTCACCTGGGGCGATGCCATCTATGAGCAAATCCACGGACTTCCCATGGCTCCCCCACTATCCCCCATCCTAACAGAAATTTACATGGCTGACCTGGAAGAGAAGGCCCTAGAAACTGCACCCTTCAAACCGTCCTGCTGGTACTGCAAAGTGGATGACACCTTCTGTCGTCCTCCAACCTCAGCAAGATCCAAAGCAGCTCCTCGCCCATCTCAACAGCCAACATCCCCGCATCAAATTCACCATTGAAACAGAGCAGAACAACCAACTACCTTTCCTTGATGTCCTTGTGTCCCGCACCTCCCTGCAACCAACTCCAGACCTCCGTGTACAGAAAACCAACTCATACGGATCACTTACATCCACTACAACTCCAAACCACCCACCTAAAGTCAAGACCTGGCGTCATCTCTACATTGACCAGAAGAGCCAAAAACATCTGCTCAACAAACCTACAGGAAGAAATTGAACACCTGAGGAAAGTCTTTGTGGGAACGCAAACCACTACCCACCTGAAATAGTCAACAGAACCATCGAAGCAACGCTTTCACCTCCTGCCAAAAGGTCTAAACTAGAATCAGCCCCCATCAAGATATCCATTCCCTACATTGGTAAACCATCACACCAAATCAGCTGACTCCTGAAACAACAGGCAGGAATAGACACTACCTTCTCAGCGTCCTCCAGCCTCGCTAACAACCTCCTCCATGCCAACGGAAGAAAACAACCCACCGTCAACAACAACAACCCGAAATGTGTTATTTACAAAATAGACTGTGATTGTGGACAATGCTACATAGGTGAAACATCCTGACCCATCAACACCTGAGTCAAAAAGAACATCGCACCTCTGTTGCTAATTCCGACACCAAATCAGCTATCTCTGACCACATCAAAGCCAACCCCAATCATCAAATAGAGTGGGTCCGACATTACCATTCTCGCCAACAACCAAACGGACTTCACTAAACGCAAGCTCACAGAAGCCATTCACATCAAACGGCACAAAGCCTACCATCAACCGTGACCAAGGATACTTCATTCCATCTGCTTATGATCCCTCCACCAAGCCCAGTCTATTGTATAAACATCGCATCCATTGTATAAACATCTCATTGTAACTACATCTCTGGCTTCCTCCTCACTATCCTTTATGTACTTACTGGCTTCATCAGCTTACTGCTTAGCCAATCATGGCAATTATGTTGCTTTCTTGTCTATTATGTTGTTTCATTGTTATATACAGTATATATATGCAGCTCCTAACACTTCATGTATCACTTTTGCTTGACAACGGTACAAGAATCTGTATCGAAACGTCGCACTCAATGAAAATAAAGAAGTTGTTATCCATAAAACTTGTTATATATTAAAATAAATTTCTCTTCACATTTGTTTATAAACCATAAGTCATGTGGAAAGCCAGTAGTGCCAGGTTGGTATTGTTGTGTTTACCTGTTGTCGAAAGACAGATTTTCAATAAAGATTGTATTGAAAGTGCATTTCTATAGAAATTCAACAGTTATGGCAATTAATGATTGTAAGATATGAGCACCAGCACGAGTCTGGACAATGGGACAATGTGTACTGTAGGTTGTATATCTAACAGATTACATAGGCCTGGTCACATCAGGAGCTCACTGTTCTGTAGAGTAGGAATCGGGAGTTTGATCAGACTAAAGTCAGTCTCACAATGTCACTGGGAGACCTTGACACCTATGTTGAACAGGTAGGTAAGTAGAATCTGGAAAAGTTCACAATATCTCTTTGGATGGTTATGTTTTTATAAATAATCTAAGAAATGAGCAACATGATTACAAAATATCATAAAAGTTATTAGATGAGAATTAGACTTCACTCATTCAATATCTGCCTGTCTGGTACTCTGAAAAAACAAAACTGTGAAACCAAAAGCCTCATATTAGAGCTTTCAGGAACTGTTTTTCTCAAATTGAACATGTCCAGATTTTCTTTGTACATTGAACAGTACAAATATCAAGGTAAAAATTCATCTTGGGAGCCAGACATGGGTATGGCTAAATGTTTCTTTTTACTCCATTTAGACATGCATATGTATTTCATTATGTCACAAGTACAGACTTTACAGGTGTATGAGAAAAGGATAGTTGTCTGCATGTCATGTACCCTCCCTGCATGTCATGTACAAAATCAATGACGACCCCAACTAGTATGTGTGGACAAAACTGATGAAAAACACGCCTCCCTGCATCAGTCACATGTCACCACCTGCACCACTCACCACATGTACATGTCATACCCCCCACATGTACCCTCCTGAACAAAATAGGCATGTGCCTCCCTTAAAACCCCTCCCCTCATCATCACCCCTCTAGTCATAAATTATGAATGGCCCCTAAGCTGCAAGATCCATTACATGTGGCTGCATTCAAATCCGCAGATTCACTGTTGGACAAAAAAACCTCTCCAGAACACTTAAAACATCATCACTAGTCATAAATTATGAGCAAAGTACATCCTCATGTGGCTATATCCCAGCTGACTCCTGTCACTTTATACACCCTGACCTGCACAGTGTTGAACCAGAGTCCGTAGAACTGTGAATAAACCAACCATTAGAACTGTGAATAAACCAACTATTTGAATACTGATTATATTTGACTGATGATTGTAGTTGAATTTTGATATTATTTAATTAGTGACTGTATTTGAATGGTGATTGTAGTTAAATAGTGATTTTATTTGAATAGTGATTGTATTTAAATAATGTTTGTATTTGAATAGTGACTATTTCATCAGTGGCTGTATTTCAATAGTGATTGTATATGAATAGTGAGTGTAGCTGAACAGTGATTTTATTTGAATAGTGATTGCACTTGAATAGTGGGTGTATTTGAATAGTGATTGTATTTGAATAGTCATTGTGTTTGAATAGTGAGTGGATCTGAATGATTGTAATCTGGGTGCATGTTCCATGTTATATGCTATACTAGCATCCAGTGTTCGATTCAGGCTGATGAGATGGGCCACAAGCAGACCAAACCTATGCCTGATGTAGACACTGAGCTGCTGGTCACCTCCAGGTTCTCTGCACATCACATGGAGGTGAGATCTTGAAACGATTCAATGATGCACTGAAAATATTTGCTTTGTTTTCTTGATAACTACCTTACCTTAACCACCTATTAAGAAACAGGCTGCTTTTTAGGACACCCTTTTCATCAGTAACTATCAGCACAAGCTTTAATTTATGAGTCATTTTGCATGAACAGTTGGATAGCTTCTACAGGGCTCCAGATAATCGGCGTATGTACGGATAAAAAATATGCACGGTAGGAAATAATTTAGAAAGCGTAGCAGATACGCACCACAGCAATGGTTTACGGTCTTAGAATCATTTACAGGCGTATTTATCTGAAAAAAGTATTGTTTTATTGTTTATTGACCTGTTTACACAAGAGTAGCAATATTGTGGTGCATATATGAAACGAAACACAAGATTACTGATAGTCCATTAATTTCCATTCAGTACTCTAAATGTACACTTAAGGTTTTCCAGTACTCTTATATTGAACAAATATGGAGTACGTACTCCTGATGTTGAAAAATTATATGGAGCCCTGGCTTCTAGATTCCTGTTAGCAGGGTCACATGAAACACAAAGAATTTCTTGCAAAAATTGCACATTTTAAGTGCCTCATCAGGCTAGACCTTTATTTATACTTGTTTAAATAATTTGATGACTAAAACAAACTGAAGTGAAAAGAATGAAACCAACCATAAACAAGTAAAATATTTGTTTGAGTGGGGTGGGTTTTATGCATGGGCTGATGTACCCTCAATGTTTCTTTATGTAACATAAAGAAACATCGAGGGTACATCAACCCATGGGCCCCCGAGGGACCAGTGAACAACGTATTTATCTTACCGGACACCTCAGACGTAATTTTGAACTGTTTAAACAGGGTATCGGGTCATAGCATGGAGTACCAGATGACAAGAAAAACAAATTTTGAGTTATCTCCCTTCCAGTGATTTGCATTCGCACAACATCGGTACATTGAAAATAATAGAAGAGCGCTCAGCCAATCAGAAAACAACATTTATGGGTGAGGCAAGATAAATGTATTTATTATCTTAGTTCCTGACTCAGTACCCTGGCCTAGAGATTTCTGTAACAATGAATACAGATAAAATATGTTTCAATACCAACAGATGATACATTATCCTAATTTGTTTCCATGTGAGCTGCTACACAAGAGCCTGGTGCAGCTCCTAGCGTTCTCCTCCAACCCGGGGGAGACGTCCATCAGCCGTGCCTTCAGAAGGGTCATGAAGCAGGTCACCCCACAGGTGTTTCAGCCCGGGCAGGATATCTTGATGAAAGGTGACAGAATTATTATTACATCATACATCTTTGCACGTATTTTCACAATATGGTTGTAGCAGTGTTAGGGAGATCAGCGAGCATTGAAACCACACCCAAAATCTAGGCAGTCATTGTTTCAGTGCTTTAACAAGAAACTGGATTAAAGTACTAAAGTAAGGCCAGAAATTCTTGGAAAATGCTTTTTGACTTAAATATCAATATCATGAATTTGACACAAGATAAAAGAACATATATGATACATGTATGACTCTACCTAGTTGGATATTAAAGCTCAGATGAAAAAATGCACTTGAGGGGTGACTTCACAGGAGGACATTTTGACGTTTTAAACATTCGTAACTATTATAAGTACAAACTGTAGTTTTGAAATATAGACTATAATTATTCATATAGTCTCAACTAATTAAATTACATAAATGATTGTAAAAGTTTTGTTTTGTGGAACATCTATATGTGAAGAAGATGGAACTCTTGTAGTAGTTATATTCAAAATAATTACGTAAAAAAGTCTTAATTCAAATTGCATAGATAATCTTGTTCACCCATAGAAGTTTCACTTCGTGTATGAGCATTGAACTGGCAACATGCGACTTGATATCTCTGCAGAACAATTAATTTCAAATTTATATCAGTATTTCATACTGGAGAAACAAAGGGAGAAACCTCTCGTCAGCTATGACAGGGTTTACTATAGAATATGTAAAACCCTTAATGTGACATATAGTCAGGTTTACAAAGTTGTAAACAAATCAGTTACCTCAGGGGTCATGTCAAAATCAAGACTAGGTAGGAAACACAAACTGGATAGGTTTGATAAGGGTGTCATACGCCGTGCAGTTTATAAACTGTATGAACGCAAAATCCCACCGACGTGTGCTAAAATACAAGATGAGATCAAAGATACAATAAATGTATGAAGCACACATAAAAGACTTCTACCAGAAAATCCTTAGAATCATGACTGTCATAATTTTTATCTTGTGTTGACTTATCTGATGTTGAAAAACACATCAGTAATATCCCAGCTGTATGGCTTCAAACCCTGTACTTGAACTGCTAGATAGCTACTCTGCCCCTCAGAACATTAAGGCTGACTGTGGTATATCTGGTTGTAATGTTTGAGACAGAATAACTTCCAATAATGTCCTCCCTCCTGACATAAGGGGATGAGAGTTCTGGCATCTACTTCATCATGGAGGGAACCGTTGCCGTGGTCACTGAGAATGGGGAGAACATCATTGCAACCTTACCTGCTGGTCAGTTTTTTGGTGAGGTGTCAACATTGTTCAAGCTTCCTGTGACTGCCAGGGTCAGAGCTGAAAGTCTGTAAGTTGTCAAGGTTGTCTCCCCTGTGCTCTTTGTTGGTTGAATGTTGCAGGTGTGACTGTCTGGTGTTATATAACCACATGCTGCCTGCAGGTGTGACTGTCTGGTGTTATATAACCACATGCTAGCTGCAGGTGTGAATGTCTGGTGCTGTATAACCACATGCTACCTGCAGGTGTGAATTTTTGGCATTATATAACCACATGCTGCCTGTCAGTGTGAATATTTGGCATTATATAACCACATGCTGCCTGCAGGTGTGAATATCTGGCATTATATTACCACATGGTGCCTGCAGGTGTGAATGTCTGGTGTTATATAACCACATGCTGCTTGCAGATGTGAATATCTGGCATTATATAACCCCATGTTGCCTGCAGGTGTGAACGTCTGGTGCTGTATAACCACATGCTGCTTGCAGGTGTTATATAACCACATGCTGCCTGCAGGTGTGAATATCTGGCATTATATAAACCCATGCTGCCTGCAGGTGTGAATGTCTGGTATTATATAACCCCATGATTCCTGCAGGTGTGAATATCTGGCATTATATAACCCCATGCTGCCTGCAGGTGTGAATGTCTGGTAATATATAACCACATGATTCCTGCAGGTGTGAATGTCTGGTGCTGTATAACCACATGCTGCCTGCAGGTGTGAATGTCTGGTATTATATAACCACATGCTGCCTGCAGGTGTGAATATTTGGCATTATATAACCACATGCTGCCTGCAGGTGTGAATATCTGGCATTATATTACCACATGGTGCCTGCAGGTGTGAATGTCTGGCATTATATAACCACATGCTGCCTGCAGTTGTGAATGTCTGGTATTATATAACCACATGCTGCCTGCAGGTGTGAATGTCTGGTATTATATAACCACATGATTCCTGCAGGTGTAAATGTCTGGCATTATATAACCCCATGCTGCCTGCAGGTGTGTGAATGTCTGGTAATATATAACAGGTGTGGAATGTCTGGTATTATATAACCACATGATTCCTGCATGTCTGATTCCTGCAGGTGTGAATGTCTGGTGCTGTATAACCACATGCTGCCTGCAGGTGTGAATGTCTGGTATTATATAACCACATGATTCCTGCAGGTGTGAATGTCTGGTATTATATAACCACATGCTGCCTGCAGGTGTGAATGTCTGGTGCTGTATAACCCCATGCTGCCTGCAGGTGTGAATGTCTGGTATTATATAACCACATGCTGCCTGCAGGTGTAAATGTCTGGTATTATATAACCACATATTGCCTGCAGGTGTGAATGTCTGGCATTATATAACCACATGCTGCCTGCAGGTGTGAATGTCTGGTGCTGTATAACCCCATGCTGCCTGCAGGTGTGAATGTCTGGTATTATATAACCACATGCTGCCTGCAGGTGTGAATGTCTGGTGCTGTATAACCCCATGCTGCCTGCAGGTGTGAATGTCTGGTATTATATAACCACATGCTGCCTGCAGGTGTAAATGTCTGGTGTTATGTAACCACATATTGCCTGCAGGTGTAAATGTCTGGTGTTATGTAACCATATATTGCCTGCAGGTGTAAATGTCTGGTGTTATGTAACCACATGCTGTCTGCAGTTGTAAATGTCTGGTGTTATGTAACCACATGCTGTCTGCAGTTGTAAATGTCTGGTGTTATGTAACCACATGCTGTCTGCAGGTGTGAATGTCTGGTGTTATGTAACCACATGCTGTCTGCAGTTGTAAATGTCTGGTGTTATGTAACCACATGCTGTCTGCAGTTGTAAATGTCTGGTGTTATGTAACCACATGCTGTCTGCAGGTGTGAATGTCTGGTGTTATATAACCACATGCTACCTGTCAGTGTGACTGTCTGCTGTTATATAACCACATACTGTCTGCAGGTGTGAATGTCTGGTCTTGGATGTGGAGAATGTGAGGCAGCTTCTACCAGACAGCAGGAGGGCAGTGGACATTATCAACTGGTTTGTGGCCAAGAAGTACATCCCTACATCCACCCACTTGGACTCGGGCAGAATCTACAGGCGAACACTGCTGTTTTCATTGCAAGAGGTCAGTGACTGCGCAAGAACTTAGTTGAAGAGTTTCAATATACTTGGTATATTCAGTATCTAAAATTCACTAGCGAATTAACCAGTTGAAAAAAGCACATGCTATGAAGACTTTAGAAACGCTTTATATTCAGGGTTGAAATCATGACATATACATATGGTGTTCTGAAGCATGCACGTGGGCAATGAAGCCGTTTCATAGTAACCGGTCGATTCGAAATGAGCCTAAAAATTGTTCAAATCCAATTATTTATACCTATTCATCTGAAGAAAGGTCTGTTTGTTTTTCCAGCTACCACTTTTTGAAGGCTGGTCTGAAGCTTCACTGAAATACCTGATCCTGTCATTGTCATCTGACAGCGTCATTCTGTATCCTCGTGCATCCTTCATCACCTGTGTTGGAGACCCATCCAACATCCTTCACATCCTACTCAGGGGAGGTAAGTCTAGATCTACATCCTTCATCACCTGTGTGGGAGACCCAACCAACATCCTGCTCAGGCGGAGGTAAGTCCATCACCTGTGTGGGAGACCCCACCAACATCCTTCTCACATCCTACCTAGGGGAGGTAAGTCTAGATCTAATCCTTCATTTACATCCTGCTCAGGAGAGGTAAGTCTAGATCTACATCCATCCTCTCAGGGGGAGGTATGTCTAGATCTATATCCTTCATCACCTGTGTGGGAGACCCACCCAACATCCTTCACAACCTGCTCAGGGGAGGTAAGTCTAGATCTACATCCTTCATCACCTGTGTTGGAGACCCATGCAACATCCTACTCAAGGAGAGGTAAGTCTAGATCTACATCCTTCATCACCTGTGTGGGAGTTCCTCATTTTTCACATTAGGAGAAATGGCTTGGGCGTCCACATCCGATATCACCTGTATAGGGCATCCTTGAAGTAAATCTCACATTCTGCTGAAGGGGAGGTAAGTCCTGGATCCCATAAAATGCAAATGAGACTTTTTCAGTATTGTTCATGTCCGGCTTGCGGGAGGTAAGTTCTCAGATAGAGGCTAGTTCATAGTGCTGGAGTTGTTAAAATGTTTATTTTGAGACTTTAAAAAAAATATTTCCTAATTACCAGTTGATGCTTAACTAACACTTCATGTAGTTAATGCCTGCTTGAAGACAAAGAAAACCATGCTTTAATCTTATGTTTAAGTAATCGTGAACAGAAGATGTGATCCAAATGTTGTTCTGTCGCCAGGGCTGTCATCTCAGGGAAGTCTGGAGTCAGGGTAGAAACAACAGCTGAGAAATTCCCCATTGTCATTGGGGAGGCAGGTAGGCCAATCCTTTTTAAACAAACTATTTTTCACAAACTTATCTGAGTATTGAGTGAGTGATTTGGATCTATGCTGCTTTTAGCAATATTCCATCCATATCATGGCCAAGAACACCAGAAAAGGAATTGTTCCCAATTCCTACCAGACAATAGCTACCAGACCTTTGGTGCGGTGAGTGAAAGCTTTAATCAAAAGGCTCCTCTGCCGCACCCACTGATTTGAGTGGGTTTCTTTAATAAATGACTCGAAAGGCTTTACCATGCATACATGGAGTAACTACCTGTTGTAAAGGGAAATGGGCGGTGGGGTAGCCCAGTGGTTAAAGCATTGGCTCGTCACGCCGAAGACCCGGGTTCGAATCCCCACATGGGTACAATGTGTGAAGCCCATTTCTGGTGTCCCCCGCCGTGATATTGCTGGAATATTGCTAAAAGCGGTGTAAAACCAAACTCAGTCAGTCAGTCAGTGTAAAGGGAAACTGTTCTGATATGCAGTATTGAAAATGTTTGTTTCCACTGAGGAATGTGGTAAACAGGGAACCTGTGCATAGAAATAAATGAACTCTGCTGTGTTTAGCGATGCTATTTGTTTTCAGGTTTATTTGTAAAGAAGGCAAGTGTACTGAATGTGATGACGGTGACGCAGTGCCAGGTGGTGTCAATCTCTCTGCAGCATCTGACAGAATGTCTAGAGCAGGTGGGTGGTGGGTATCCATCTCAGTGTACCAACAGACTCTATATTATATCACATATTATATCTGGGAATACAATTTCTCTGTAAAGTACACACTCTTTTATTTCTTTCAGAGGTGTCCAATTAAGGAATTGAACCCACACTGTCAGAGTGAGGCACCTAATTACCAGCACACAAAGTCAGAAATTTAGCCCACTCAGCCACCGCAGGTTTCTACAAAGTCTTCTAGGCCAAGTTCTCAGACTTCCATGTTTTGTGTGCTGCTGCGGTTGAGAGGGTTAGATCGCTGTCTTTTTATGCTGGTGATAAGGAGCATCTGTCTGAGAGTGTGGGTTTGACTCCTGGATCCGTACCTCCTGGATTCCGTGATTCCGCGGTTGCAGAAATCGTGGAAAAATACCTTTTCATGCAGAAAAACGTCTGGTCCACGGAAAATGCATTTTCATGCAGATTACCCGCAGAATTTGCCATTTTCATGCCGCGGATTTTACTTATTTTGAAAGTTGAAACAAGAATGCCTATCAAACGATATTTTGTAGAGTTTGTAATGTCATTCCTGATCACACTCGTAAGATCATCTTTCTACATAAAAAAATCTATCTTGCACGAAAAAACGAGCTGCCAGCTGTCATGAAGCTCTAAAACATTACAGCTTTGTGTTTAAGAATTAAAGTTTGAAATTCTTTACCATTTTTTGTTGATTTTTCAGTATCTTGTGCAGAATTTTGAAAAATGGGATGCAGAATTTACTTAAATTTACTATGAATTCTTAAGAATTCCGCCATGAATCCAGGAGGGACTGCTTGATGGGACTAGACCCAAATTGGCTACTTGAATCTGTACATTACTGAGATTAATCCAAATGAAACACGCATGACATTTGGCCACGTTTTAAATGGCATAGTGTATTCATAGCATTCCCATATAGTGCTTCACTCTAAAGTATGCAGAAGCTTGAGCATCAATCAAAGACAATTACTACTTCCTGTCCAGGACAGCACCGACACCAGAGCACTCTGGGACAGGAGGACAGAGTTGTGGGAGAGTTTTGTTCAACATCGGGAGAACCTGACCAACGTACACCAGGACACAGTGCAGTATGAGGTCAGAGTTCAATCAAGATGCACAACCTCTGAAAATGTTCTCGATAAAACTTCTCTCAGTGATCACTGATGTTTGCAAAAACAGTTATAAACAGGAAGAATTTTGTTACACTGGAATATAGGATCTGAGTAATGGTTTATCTTCAAATCTACATTTTAGAGACATCTTTGCTGGATAGTCAGATGATGTGTGAATTTACTGGTGACTTGTTCAGCACTGATTTAAGTGTTCAATCTTGCTTGTCTTCAATGTGCTGTTGGTCATCCGTAGTGGTGTTCCAATGATCGAAAATAATCGAAAATCGATAGAGGGAATGATTATCGATGTAAAAACATATTTGATTAAGAGAAGGATTAAAAATGATTATCGATTGTAAAAAAGCATATTCGATTAATTAAAATTTTAACTTTTATTGTGTAATTACAATTCCAGTGTCTTTCTTGCATGAATGCATTTCATTGCATGACAGTATTAGTTATAAGGAACATTTATTAGAAAAAACCTGGGGAAAAACCCTTCAAATTGGTGATTTCATTAAAAATGTATATATTTCGATTATAACTGATAATCGTTCACCACAATCCTCCGATAATCAATAGTGGATTTGGTTTCTGATTCCCAACACTAGTCATCTGTTTTCTAACTACAATATTTCATCCACTATTTGTCAGACTTATAACCAGGAATATGGATTTCTCCTTCCCGTCTCGACAGGTGACCTTCCAGTTCCTGTCCAACTCCTCCCTGTTCAGGAACTCCACTCTGGCCCTCCTGCAGCATCTGGTGTTGGAGTCTCAAGTCCTGGGTCTTGCTGATGGGGAGATGGCCTATACCCAACACGACTCAAGTAGGTCCTGTATCTAGCATGCTAGAGCACCCGTCCTGTGTCTAGTATATACTCGAGTCTCAAGGATTCTATCTTGTATATCCTTATATGTATTGGGTCTTGCTGATGGGGAGATGGCCTACACCCAACACGACTCAAGTAGGTCCTGTATCTAGCATGCTGCAGCTCCCGTCTTGTGTCTAGTATATACTCGAGTCTCAAGGATTCTATCTAGTATATCCGTATATGTATTGGGTCTTGCTGATGGGGAGACGGCCTACAACCAACACAACTCAAGTAGGTCCTGTATCTAGCATGCTGCAGCTCCTGTCTTGTGTCTAGTATATACTCGAGTCTCAAGGCTTCTATCTAGTATATCCGTATATGTACTGGGTCTTGCTGATGGGAAGACGGCCTACAACCAACACAACTCAAGTAGGTCCTGTATCTAGCATGCTGCAGCTCCCGTCTTGTGTCTAGTATATACTCGAGTCTCAAGGATTCTATCTTGTATATCCGTATATGTATTGGGTCTTGCTGATGGGGAGATGGCCTACACCCAACACAACTCAAGTAGGTCCTGTATCTAGCATGCTGCAGCTCCCTCTTGTGTCTAGTATATACTGAAGTCTCAAGGATTCTATCTTGTATATCCATTATATGTATTGGGTCTTGCTGATGGGGAGATGGCCTACACCCAACACGACTCAAGTAGGTCCTGTATCTAGCATGCTGCAGCTCCTGTCTTGTGTGTAGTATATACTCGAGTCTCAAGGCTTCTATCTAGTATATCCGTATATGTATTGGGTCTTGCTGATGGGGAGATGGCCTACACCCAACACAACTCAAGTAGATCCTGTATCTAGCATGCTGCAGCTCCCGTCCTGTGTCTAGTATATACTCGAGTCTCAAGGATTCTATCTTGTATATCCGTATATGTATTGGGTCTTGCTGATGGGGAGATGGCCTACACCCAACACAACTCAAGTAGATCCTGTGTCTAGCATGCTAGAGCTCTTGTCCTGTATGTACTGGAGTCTCAAGTCCACTGTCCAGTAGATCAGTATATGTCACTGTGATTGGGTCACAAATGTGGACACATGTTTAAGTAAAAAAGAGGAGTGCATCTGATAATTTGGGAATTTGTGTTTTGTACTTGTGTTCATTTTTTTAAAACAGTTTACTATTTGTATATCAACTCACATATAAAATAAATGTATAGATAGAAGCTTATGGTCTTCACCCAAAATGCTAATTGAAGTTTTGTGTCTTGCATGTGTGTGTGAATCTCACATTTTGTCTTGTTAATGGGATGGCTAAAACCCAATGGCTGTGTGTGTGTGACGTTCTAAACCCTCTGTGAGTGGGTGGGTGGGTGTGGATAGTGGTTAAAGTGTTAAGCTGGGTGTGGGGTTGTGAAGATAGTGGTTAAAGTTCCAAATGGCTTCAAGACCTAAGTTCCAATTTTCCACATCGGTACAATTTGTGAAGCCCATTTCTGGTGTCCCCCACTGTGATATTGCTAACCACGATGTAAAACTTAACTCACTTAAAAGTCCTTGGAACTAAGTGTACAGCAAACATACCTAAATGCAAGAATTGTTTAGCAATGACATCTTTATCATGTTAACATATTCCAGAACAGCGCACAATTCTTCTAATGCTGGAAGGAAGGCTGGAGGTCACAGAGCCAGCAGCTCCTCAGTCACAGACAGCTGGATATCTCACACCGGCTGCCGGTTCCTCACATAGGACTGGTGCAGCCTCACCAGCAGGTGCATCCTCACCAACAGGTGGTTCTTCATCACAGAGAGCTGGTTCTTCATCACAGAGAGCTGGTTCTTCCTTACTACCAGTAGGTGTGAACAGGACAGTGACACAGGGCCAGATCATTGGTAATGTATTCTTAATGAATGTTTCTTTCTTTAAGTGTAAACATTCAAAAATAATTGTAAAGATTGTCCATCTATGACAGAAGATGCGATGGCATAAATATAAGTGTTTGCTCTTCCGTTTCAGCCAAAGTTCCAGGAGTCTCTGCCATTGTCACTTACAAAAGTGTGGGCAAATCATCTGTCATCAAATTTCCCACACCAACCCTCAAACAGGCATTAATGAAGTTTGCTGCATTGAAAGGCAAAAGCTGATGACTATTTGATTGTGTTATCCTAGGAACATTATTGATGGAGGATTTAACTTGTCAACTTGAAACAGCAGCGTGTCTTCAAGTACATCATCAGCTAGTTGTCACTATGGCCCTAAAATAGTACATTCTTGTATCTGATGTAAGGTGGTTGACAACATGGCCTTAACACAATAGAGCATCTTCGTATCTCATGTAGGGTGGTTGTCAACATGGCCTTAACACAATAGAGCATCTTCGTATCTCATGTAGGGTGGTTGTCAACATGGCCTTAAGGTGGTTGTGAACATGGCCTTAACACAATAGTGTCTTCATATCTGATGTAAGGTGGCTGTCAACATGGCCTTAACACAATAGAGCATCTTCGTATCTGATGTTGGGTGGTTGTGAACATGGCCTTAACACAAGAGTGTCTTCGTATCTGATGTAGGCTGGTTGTCAACATGGCCTTAACACAATAGCATCTTCGTATCTCATGTAGGGTGGTTGTGAACATGGCCTTAACACAATACAGCATCTTCGTATCTGATGTAAGGTGGTTGTCAACATGGCCTTAACACAATAGAGCATCTTCGTATCTGATGTAAGGTGGTTGTGAACATAGCCTTAACACAATAGAGCATCTTCGTATCTGATGTAAGGTGGTTGACAACATGGCCTTAAGGTGGTTGTGAACATGGCCTTAACACAATAGTGTCTTCATATCTGATGTAAGGTGGCTGTCAACATGGCGTTAACACAATAGAGCATCTTCGTATCTGATGAAGGGTGGTTGACAACATGGCCTTAACACAATAGTGTCTTCGTATCTGATGTAGGGTGGTTGTCAACATGGCCTTAACACAATAGCATCTTCGTATCTCATGTAGGGTGGTTGTCAACACGGCCTTAACACAATAGTGTCTTCGTATCTCATGTAAGGTGGTTGTGAACATGGCCTTAACACAATAGCATCTTCGTATCTCATGTAGGGTGGTTGTGAACATGGCCTTAACACAATACAGCATCTTCGTATCTCATGTAGGGTGGTTGTCAACATGGCCCTTAGGTGGTTGTGAACATGGCCTTAACACAATAGAGCATCTTCGTATCTGATATAAGGTGGTTGTCAACATGGCCTTAACACAATAGAGCATCTTCGTATCTGATGTAGGGTGGTTGACAACATGGCCTTAACACAATAAAGCATCTTCGTATCTGATGTAGGGTGGTTGTGAACATGGCCTTAACACAATAGAGCATCTTCGTATCTGATATAAGGTGGTTGTCAACATGGCCTTAACACAATAGAGCATCTTTGTATCTGATATAAGGTGGTTGACAACATGGCCTTAACACAATAGAGCATCTTCGTATCTCATGTAGGGTGGTTGACAACATGGCCTTAACACAATAGAGCATCTTCGTATCTGATGTAAGGTGGTTGTCAACATGGCCTTAACACAATAGAGCATCTTCGTATCTGATATAAGGTGGTTGTCAACATGGCCTTAACACAATAGAGCATCTTCGTATCTGATGTAAGGTGGTTGTCAACATGGCCTTAACACAATAGAGCATCTTCGTATCTGATGTAGGGTGGTTGTCAACATGGCCTTAAGATGGTTGTGAACATGGCCTTAACACAATAAAGCATCTTCGTATCTGATGTAAGATGGTTGTCAACATGGCCTTAACACAATAGAGCATCTTCGTATCAGATGTAAGGTGGTTGTGAACATGGCCTTAACACAATAGAGCATCTTCGTATCTGATATAAGGTGGTTGTCAACATGGCCTTAAGGTGGTTGTGAACGTGGCCTTAACACAATAGAGCATTTTCGTATCTGATGTAAGGTGGTTGTGAACATGGCCTTAACACAATAGAGCATCTTCGTATCTGATATAAGGTGGTTGTCAACATGGCCTTAAGACAATAGCATCTTCGTATCTGATGTAGGGTGGTTGTGAACATGGCCTTAACACAATAGAGCATCTTCGTATCTGATGTAGGGTGGTTGTCAACATGGCCTTAAGGTGGTTGTGAACATGGCCTTAACACAATAGAGCATCTTCGTATCTGATGTAAGGTGGTTGTCAACATGGCCTTAACACAATAGAGCATCTTCGTATCTCATGTAGGGTAGTTGTCAACATGGCCTTAACACAATAGAACATCTTCGTATCTGATGTAGGGTGGTTGTCAACATGGCTTTAAGGTGGTTGTGAACATGGCCTTAACACAATAGAGCATCTTAGTATCTGATGTAAGGTGGTTGTTAACATGGCCTTAACACAATAGAGCATCTTCGTATCTGATGTAAGGTGGTTGTCAACATGGCCTTAACACAATAGAGCATCTTAAGTATCTGATGTAGGGTGGTTGTCAACATGGCCTTAAGATGGTTGTGAACATGGCCTTAACACAATAAAGCATCTTAAGTATCTGATGTAAGATGGTTGTCAACATGGCCTTAACACAATAGAGCATCTTCGTGATCAGATGTAAGGTGGTTGTGAACATGGCCTTAACACAATAGAGAGCATCTTAAAGTATCTGATATAAGGTGGTTGTCAACATGGCCTTAAGGTGGTTGTGAACGTGGCCTTAACACAATAGAGCATTTTCGTATCTGATGTAAGGTGGTTGTGAACATGGCCTTAACACAATAGAGCATCTTCGTATCTGATATAAGGTGGTTGTCAACATGGCCTTAAGACAATAGCATCTTAGTATCTGATGTAGGGTGGTTGTCAACATGGCCTTAACACAATAGAACATCTTCGTATCTGATGTAGGGTGGTTGTCAACATGGCTTTAAGGTGATTGTGAACATGGCCTTAACACAATAGAGCATCTTAGTATCTGATGTAAGGTGGTTGTTAACATGGCCTTAACACAATAGAGCATCTTCGTATCTCATGTAGGGTGGTTGTCAACATGGCCTTAAGGTGGTTGTGAACATGGCCTTAACACAATAGAGCATCTTCGTATCTGATGTAAGGTGGTTGTCAACATGGCCTTAACACAATAGTATGTCTTCGTATCTGATGTAAGGTGGTTGTTAACATGGCCTGAACACAACAATGTCTCAAATATGAGTGAGTAAGTGTGTATGGGTTCATGCCAATTTACTTAATTTAGCAATATAACATCAGCAACTAACAAAAACTAGCAATTAGTAATATCATGGCGCAGAACACTACAAATAGGCTTCAAACATTGCACCCATGTGGTCAGCAAACACTTCAGCCATTGGGCTGTCTTCATATGTGACTTTACATGGTTGTGCACATGGCCTTAACTTAAACACTAGTGTGTCTTTATATCTGATGTCAGGTGATTGTCAATATTCAAGTTATTAGGCACTTTGACATGCGGTTGTTAATTATCATATCTTGGTACAATGAATGTAACTGAAGGTATCATCAAGGACTGTACATCCACAAATACTTTGTCAAGTATACAAGTTTGTATATGCTATGTTACACTGTTGTTTCCTCTGTCAAATGTGGAATTGTCCCTCAATGTAATAAAAGATGGAGGTAACGTACTGTACAGTGAGGTGTAAAGCCATGGTCAGGATAAATTAACATTTGAAGCAACAGACAAGTGTGCATATGTTCATGTGTGCAAGGGGCGGTGGGGTAGCCTAATGGTTAAAGCGTTGGCTCGTCACGCCGAAGACCCGGGTTCGAATCCCCACATGGGCACAATGTGTGAAGCCCATTTCTGGTGTCCCCCGCCGTGATGTTGCTGGAATATTGCTAAAAGCTGCGTAAAAACCAAACTCAGTCAGTCAGTCATGTGTGCAAACAGCTGCTTGTAGTAGTCGTGACCTATACTGATTCAATAGCTCTAATCCACTGAGAATTACCAAAACTACTGTATTTTGTATTTGGCATACCCTCATTGTGTTAAGAATGCAAACCAATAAATGTGACAGCTACCATGTTAACAGTATGTTTATACAATTATATACCCAAAAGTAAGATTCCATTTTCTTTAATAAATTCACAGGTATTGACATACAAAATCTGTTAAACAGATTGTCCAGAAACAAGGCTGAACATGGTACACTCCATAAGTATCAGAATCTTTTGGAGTCACAGGTTTTCCTTGGGGTGTCCACCACACCTTGCTCCTGAGTGAGTGAGTGAGTTTAGTTTTACGCCGCTTTTAGCAATATTCCAGCTATATCACGGTGGGGACACAACTGCAAGTAGCATATGTTGCTACATATATATAAATATGTTCAAATAACCCACATCGGCCTGTCTGGGCGTTCAGTGGGATGTGTAATAGGATATCCAGAAGTGCATGTTTACTCGTAAAATAGGGCAAAACTTAGAAAAAATACAAATAGCTGCTGAAAACAATAGATCAGACTATAGATGGCAATTAGGTTGCTCAGCCAGGTATGACGACGGACCGTCGACTCACCTGGCATGAAATGCACATGCTGCCTACAGGCACAAAGGGTCATCTCAAAGATATTTTATGCTTTTTTCATGTGTATTGAATATGTCTTATCTATTGATTATCATCTTACTCGTCCTTCATAACGTTTATGTTGAGATATGTAAAACAGTATGATACCCATAGAAAAGCTTAAATCAACTATCACATTAAATGTCTCAAAATATATAGGTGGCAAGACCACCCCAAGATCAACAGGACTGGATATTATTTGTTAATTGTTAAGACATGCCTTTTTATTTCCCCCAGTTTAATTCCCCTAAAGGATTATCTTATCTTAGCTGATATCTCTATCCACCAGTACGACCCCAAACATCGTCTGCGACACCCGTCCTGGTTTTGCTTTTCAGACGACCCCTCCTACCTGTTTCCTTTTATAGTGATAGTGAGGATCCATGGTAGCTACATCCTTCATAGTTTCCGTATTAAAGTTATTACTTTTTTCGTCAGCTATCGTTTATAATGAAGCTAAGTCTAGTTTCAAAATAGGCATTTAAAAAGTGTCCTTTGAAATACAATATCATCGCACACTAATTTGCATAAAGCCATGGTCTTTTCTAATAAGTTGCTTTGGACTTAGAAAAAACCTGCATTGCTCATTTATGCACTAATCTCTCCTCAGTAAAGTCATTTTTTCACGTTTCCTATCTCCCTACCACTGAGACTGTAGTTAGGCCGAACTTAGTTTCACAGATATTTCACACTTTCACATTTTAACTTCATTAATTGTAGATATATATGTGAAAAAACAGTTTTTTTCTATTTCCGACTGTACTTTAAAGGCCATTTGCAGTGTAAAACTGCAATACTGTTTAGGTGGCATGAATAATAACATTTCACTTGTTTTACATTATTTCCATGCCAGATATGCTAGATTTGGTTGGTTGGTGGGTTTGTTGTTTAATGCCGCACTCAGCAATATTCCAGTATATGGCGGTGGCCTGTAAATAATCGAGTCCAGACCAGACCAGACAATCCCGTGATCAACATCTTGAACATCAATCTACGCAACTGGGATACAATGACGTCAAGCAAGTCAGAGAGCCTGACCACCCAATCCCTTTAGTCGCCTCTTACGACAAGCATGGGTTGCTGAAGACCAATCCTAACCCGGATGTTCACGGGTGATATCATGCTTGAAGTGCACCCAGTCAATGCAGGATTCTCATTAGTCTGGCTCAGCTCCCTGGGAAGGATCCAACCCAAACTGCCTGTGGAGTGTTAAGTTACAATCCTCTCCTACCGGGTACCCCTTCACAGCTGTGTGAAGGGAGCCATATTTGAACAGTGGACACCACATCTGCTACATGAACTCTCAGTGTGGGGCAGGAATGAAGCATTTAAAACTGCCAGCAGTCAAGCTGCCGAACAAGACCACCAATCCAACTTCTCTCACAATCAGTGTTACATAACTTCACCTGATTTGTGACCAGCTATGCATGTGCCGAACTCACCACAGAGATCAAACTCCAAATCACTCCCTCATCTGTAGATATCCCACACTGAGATCAGTTGATCTTTAGAACCACAGGCTAACAGATTGTCCTGTGAAAATGCAAGGCATTGAGCACTATCACGGTGATAAGACAAAACAGCCAGAGGCTTTATCTTCTTCCAGCTGAACAGACGAATATTATTGTCCCATCCTGCACAAGCAACTATCTTTTCATCAGTTCGCACAACTATGTCATTGAGGCCTGGATTGGTTATGTCCAGCTCACTAGTCTTCTCAAGATGGCTCTCAGCATCAACTGACCAGCAGATCAGCTTCTTGTCCACAGATCCAGAAATACCTTTCCTAGAGTTGGCCGAGAAGCCCATGCACATAACAGAGTCCCCATGCAGTCTATCTAAAGTGCTGGCACATTTCTGTGTTCGTAAATCCCATAGAGTTATACTTCCATTTTCATATCCAATCAAAATTTGGTTGCCTTCAGATTGGCTGGCAGTTTTGATTGACATGCATATGCCGACCTTCTGGCTGCTGCAGTCAGGTTTGAGAGACATCACACAGTGCTTGGTATGGATGTCGTAGACGTCCACTTGTGAAGCTGCTTCACTGGGTGTAGCGACGAGTTGCGAGTTGTTGCGGAGGACAACACTACTCCCACAGAAGCCCATTGTAGCACAACGCATATGGCCTGGAAAATAATGTATAGAAACATTTTTAATTCTCACAAACCTTCATTTAACAAGCACACAGATTTGTGTTCACAAGTGGTATACATATTATTTCAATGACAGAGTTAGTAATCATTCTATTGTCAGTTTTGTTTGTTGTGTAACACTTGCTCCAAAATAAGCACCTTAATGTGTAGAAATTCTGACATTTTCAAAAAGAAGAACCATTAATCAATACTTTATCAATATCATTTGTAAAAGATAAATTCTATCAATTTGATTTTGAATCAAACTGTATCCACTGCAAGATGATTTCATTTTTTTGTAAATTTGGTGTGGAAGATATTATAACATGCAATAAGAGGTTTGGTGAACTAGTGAACAAACTAAACCTGTCTTAGGAAAAAATATATTGTCACCTGTGTTTGTTAAGGACCCATCTCCATACTGCCAAGACTTGACAAAACCATCTCTCCCCTGACTCAGCAGACACTCCTCCGACAGGGGACACACCCACAGGACAGTGTGACCAGCGTGATCGTCAACCGTGGACTGAACACGCCTTGTATCTAAACTCCACTGCAACACCTTCCCATCCAGGGTGCCACTGTAGAGAGTCTGTGGTGTGGAGAAAGCCAGGCTGGTGATAGGGCTGCTGGCGCCTCGCAAGATGAAGCTAGGATCTGGTGGGGGAGAGGCCATGATTGATGTTACCTGAAACAAATATTAATATTATTATTATTGTTGCATCTAATAAGGGCCCATTCGCTTCTCCTTTTTTAACAAGCTTCCAAAGCCATCGGGTAATCAGTGAATCGTTAATTAGAGACCTTGAGCTTAATATTTCATCTACGGTGTTGCATACTCTACAGTTACTTATATAGTTCGTATTGTACTATGTATGGCACATGATCCCATGAATGTTTATATACATGAAAGAGGGTGGTGGTGGTGGAATTGGGTTTAACGTCGTGCTTGAGAATATTTCGCTCATATGACGACATGCATGCGTGTGTATGTGTATGTGCGGCTGCTTGTACTATCCAGACTTAAGCTGGTTTTATAGTGCTAGCCCACTGAAATACCATGCCGCAGTGAAGCAGGAATACACCACTCAGACACATTATACTGACTCCAAGCCGACCAGTCCTCGTTATACCCATTAATGCCAAGCGCCAGGCAGGGACCAACAAGTACCATATTTTAACGTCTTTTGGTATGACGCGGTCGGGGATCGAACCCGCAACCTTCCGCACTCCGGGCGGACGCTCTAACCACTACACCACAGAGGCGGTCCATGAAAGAGGGAGGCAAAGTAAGGCCTAAGAGTCATGCCATGTGGTGCTTATATGAAGAAGTGCTGAAAAGGGACTCTGTTTTTATGCTTTAATTATTACATAGTGCAGTAATTTATATCAACATACACGGCACTTATTGCATGATCATCATGAGAAGAAAAATTCACAATTTCTGGCATTGTTAAACTATTAAAATGTCTACGTAGAGTGCTTCAGGGGTTCCCCAAAGTCTATTTGGAACTTTACCAAGTTGTTTCATATGGAATCAGTCATGATGCCTGAAAGACTCTCGCAGGGTTCAGTGAACGTATCTCATTATCAGCTTATCACTAGTTAGGGCAAGTCAAGTTAGGATAAACTGAGCTTAGTATGAAGCGCTTATTTTACAGGTGCTTCAAACACTAATTCTTAACAAAACTGGTTATCTCCCCAAAAAGATAACGTATACACCAGTACCAAATATATATATAGAGAGAGAGAGAGAATCTCACCCGAGTGTCTTTTGATATCAAATATATCACCACGAGTTCAAAAAGTAACAATTTTTTTTTTTTTATCAACGAGTGTTGATATATTACATATCAGAAGACAAGAGGGTGAGATTCTATTTATCATCATAAATCACTCTTCATTAGTTTTCATTGAAAAATGTATATCTCTTAACACAGTACTGCCATTAGATTTGCAGTGCAGCGATGTCATAACATTGTGACGTCAACAAGTTCATGACGTCATAGCATTGTCAGGGCATTGTACAGAATCTACTGTCAAAACGATATCTCCTAGGAGATATCGTCTGATCTCACACAAGCGATATCTACTGTGGAACACAGTTTTGGATGATAAATATGTATACACACACATACATACATACATGTCAATATATATACTGACATGCTTACATATCTTAAGTCCATATTGACTAAATCAAAAAAGAATTGAACTATCCATAAAACACTACAGAGATCAGATCAAATATGTTTTGTTTGTTTATTGCTTAATATCATATGCAGCAATATTCCAGCGGTCCGTAAATAATCAAGTCTGGACCAGACAATCAAGTGACTAACATCATGAGCATCGATCTACACAATTGGACTATGATGACGTGTCAACCAAGTCAGCAAGCCTGACCACCTGATCCTGTTAGTCGCCTCTTACGACAAGGATTGGTTGTTGAAGACCAATTCTAAGCCCAATCTTCACTGGTATAGCCATGAAGTAGAAGCTTATTGGCTCCCCTCATGGCTTATACTGATGTTGAACTTAACTTCCTTACATATTCCTTCTCACCTACATTCAACAGTCAGTCCTTATACGACCCGTGAAGATCCGGGGTAGAATAGGTCTTCAGCAACCCATGCTTGCCACAAAAGGCGACTATATGCTTGTTGTAAGAGGCGACTAACGGGATCGGGTGGTCAGGCTCGCTGTCTTGGTTGATTCATGTCATCGGTTCCCAATTGCGCAGATCGATGCTCATGCTGTTGATCACTGGATTGTCTGGGCACGACTCGATTATTTACAGACCGCTGCCATATTGCTGGAATATTGCTGAGTGCGGCGTAAAGCTAAACTCACTCACTCAGTCCTTATACAGCTCTGGACTGTCATTTGTTTTAATATCCATTGTAATGTTTGGGGGCTAGTCAATTACAGTGTTTATCCTGCAATGTCATGAGTTAGATCTACTATGATTTGTTAATTACACTCATAGTCAAAGCCAAATGTAAATGAATATCAATATTGTAAACGCTAATTTCGCGCAGCGACCTTATACTTGGTGATTCTTGACACGACACGTGAAAGCATCTTGTTTCCCGAACCGCAGATCAGTATTACGTCACGTGTATAATACGATACTCACAAGAATCTAGAGGAAATCACATGCAAGAGTATTCTGGACACATGTGCACGCATTTCGTAAACAATCCAAGGGACGTAACTCTAACTTACTAAACGGAACTTTATTTTGAGTACTCTTTGGGGCAGTCCGCATGCAATGTCTGAGTTCGACCCTCAAAACGAAATGTCCCAGTACTCGACTAACATTTGTGTATTTCCACCAAAATAAATATTTAACGGAATTTCTAAAATATCAAAATTTACTCATACATCGTTTCAGCGTTCCTCTTTATTCACTAACGTTCGCCTTGATTATGTTTAAAGACTTGTCAGCACCACATCTATGCTATAGCCATGGGTTCCCCTTGTGTTGAATCTATGAGACTTGCATCACTTTGGGCTTTCTTGCCACACAGACCTTGTGATTTGGCTGATATGATGTTTATAGCAACGTTTAAGTGAGTGAGTATAGTTTTATGCCGCTTTTAGCAATATTCCATTAGTATCACGGCGGGGGACACCAGAAATGGGCTTCACACATTGTACCCATGTGGGGAATCGAACCCGGGTCTTCGGAGTCACGGGGAAACGCTTTAACCATTAGGCTACCCCATCACCCCCAACGTGGACGAAACTCGAGTATATAAGACGAGTATGTGGATGGCAAATTCTTGTTTATTGTGTATCACAACGTTTCTGGGCTACTTCTTGCCTCTTGTTCAGGTGATTTAAGACAGACGTAGAAAACAAACTATATATACCAGATTTACAGGAAGCCACATATGTACATGTATATACAATCAATCACAAAGGGCCGATCAAATGCAGTTATAAAAACAATGATAATTAGGATAAGGTAAAGCCAGTTGACACAAATAATGAGGAAAGAGAGATGTGGATACAGCAGAGTGATATACAGCTAATTAATTGGATTTACAGGAAGCCAGAGATGTACATGTATATACAATCAATCAATGAGGACAGATGAAAAGACGTTATAAAAACTGATAATGGATAAGGTAAAGCCAGTTGACACAAACAATGAATATACAGAGATGTGAACTCAGCAGTGTGATATACAGCTAATTAAGTGACAGTAGAGGTGGGTGTGGTTCGACTTTTGTGATGTTCCAGGCACTGGGGAGGTATACACCTTGATCTCTATTAATCTCTGGAGTTAATCTCCTGATGTTGATGGCTTCTAGTATTTTCCGTTTTCGCCAATCGTGAACATTGGTGGCCAAGATGCTAGTCTGTTGCCAGTCAGTGGAGTGGTTGGGGTTGTTGATTATATGCTCTGAAAGGGCAGATTTGTGGTCGGCTTTTTCAACAGATGTTTTGTGTTCTTTGAGTCTTATATCAAAGGGGCGTGACGTCTCTCCAATGTAGCTTCTGCCACAGTTGCAGTTTAGTTTGTATATACAGCCTCGAGGGTTGTGTGTAGTCGTCTCATTGCTGGAAACTCATTTTCATTGCTGAAACTCGAGTAGCTGGATAGTGACGATAGTTATTGTTTTACGAGTGCTGATCAAAACAGAACAGCACATGGGATCAAAACGGCCCAGTATTTATAGTATCAATATCAGTTGAAATATACATAACCTATGACAATAGTTAGCTGGAGGATTTCACAGTTTGCATTGTGATCGAAGCAACTAAATTTACACACTACGTCGACTGCCTCCGTGGTGTAGTGGTTAGAGCGTCCGCCCGGAGTGCGGAAGGTCGCGGGTTCGATCCCCGACTGCGTCATACCAAAAGACGTTAAAATATGGTACTTGTTGGTCCCTGCCTGGCGCTCGGCATTAATGGGTACAACAAGGACTGGTCGGCTCGGAGTCAGTATAATGTGTGTGAGTGGGGTATTCATGCTTCACTGCGGCATGGTATCTCAGTGGGCTAGCACTATAAAACCAGCTTCAGTCTGGGCTAGTACAAGTAGCCGCACATACACATACACACGCATGCACGTCGTCATATGAGCGAAATATTCTCAAGCACGACGTTAAACCCAATTCCACCACCACCACACATTACGTCACAGTGCTTATCCTCGTGCACTGAAAAACACCGATATTATCTTTGTTTAAAACACTGTTATTGTCGTTAAACACTTTACGAAAACCTATCACTCACACTTTTGAATGGAACTCACATGGACCAGAGTCTTAATAATATATATGTTAAATATTAATTACCTAGAACTGATGTTAACAAGATATATTTATAATTTCGTTCTCAAAAGGGAACTGAGACTATATTTCGTTCCAAACGCAGGTGGATTTTTTCCCACTTAACTGAATGTGCGTGGGTGCGTCCGTCTGTCCGTGCGTACGTGCGTGCGTGTGTGTGCGTTTATAATCGTCTGTTTACTCACTTTAGACTTGCAATTTGATCTTGAAATGTTTACTTCAACAATGTCAATAGACAGATGTTGGCATCTTACTGACACGGGTGGATTGTCTTCTGTTACCAAGATGCACATGTTGTTTACAGTAAATTATACCATGGTTTCGTTATACAGCCTTGAAACCAAACATTAAAAAATATCAGTGTCGGCTTCAGTTGGTTACATGATACTGTATTATGAACTAGCTGATTTGAGACAACTCGAGAGATGAATGACGAATGCCGCAATGTTGTACAGAGTTATGTCCCTTCCTCCGCGACTATCTCCTCCTTGCCACTCTCCTAACCCACAGGGTCCAGACAAATTGCCTAGCCTGTCGGCTTAACAGCTGTTGCAACCGCTCGAAACTTGTTATTGTAAAGAAGTAAGGAAATTATTTTAGTAGGTTATTTAAATATGTGCCATATAATTTCGTCATGTTTCTTCATCAGATAAAACAATTATTTGGGTTTGTATCCATGCTTAGTTTCGCCGAACCATGGTGAGCGGTATTCCGGATGCCACAATGAAGGATGCCGAACCATGGTGAGCGGTATTCCGGATGCTACAATGAAGGATGCCGAGCCATGGTGAGCGGTATTCCGGATGCCACAATGAAGGATGCCGAACCATGGTGAGCGGTATTCCGGATGCCACAATGAAGGATGCCAAACCATGGTGAGTGGTATTCCGGATGCCACAATGAAGGATGCCGAACCATGGTGAGCGGTATTCCGGATGCCACAATGAAGGATGCCGAACCATGGTGAGTGGTATTCCGGATGCCGAGCCATGGAGAGCGGTATTCCTGACGCCACAGTTGGGGACGCCGAACCATGGTGAGTGGTATTCTGAATGCCGAACCGTAGTGAGTGGTATTCCAGGTGCCACAGTGGAGTATGCTGAACGATGGTGAGTGGTAGTCTTGATGCCACAATGGGGTACGCCGAACCATGGTGAGTGGTATTCCAGATACCAAACCATGATGTGTGGCATTCCGGGTGTCACAGTGGAGGATGCGGAACCATGATGTGTGGTATTCCAGATGCAACAATGGAGTACGCCGGACCATGGTGACTGGTATTCCAGATGCCACAATGGGGACGCCGAACCATGGTGAGTGGTATTCTGGATGTCGAACCATGGTGAGTGGTATTCGGGGTGCCACAATGGGGGACGCCGAACCATGGTGAGTGGTATGCCGAATACAGAGACATGGTGACTGGTATTCTGGTTACCTCAATGGGGACACCGAACCATGGTGAGTGGTAATCCAGATGCCGAACCATGGTGAGTGGTATTCCGGGTGCCGAACCATGGTGGGCGGTATTCTGAATGCCTTAACTTGGTGAGCGGTATTTCGGACGCCACAATGGAGGATGCCAAACCATGATGACTGGTATTCCCGATGGGGAGTGCCGAACCATGGTGAGAGGGAATTCCGAATGCAGAAAGATGAACCAAAAAAAGTTCATGCGCCATTGCGTCATGTGTTCATAAGCTCACAAACTGGCTCTGAAAATGTATTTCTGGCGAAACCTTTTTCTGCTGTAATATCTGGCACAATTTATTTCTACTGCCAGAATTATCGTAATTGAGTAAAAAGTAGGTTCAATTTTTGGATATTTTAATATGGATTTTCTTGAAATTATGTTTTTTCTCCTGAATACAGTTTCAAGTTGGAGGGGAAATTGTTCCTAGAAGTAGATCACTGCATAAATATTACAAAACATATCTAATCAAGAAGAAATATAGATAATTTGTCGATTTCTTTATAAATCATTTATTCACACTCTGTATTACAAGAGTTTCTTTTGGCGAAGTTGCAGCATTCTGTGCAACATGAAGAACACACTCATTTCCTTTCAGCTATAAATGCATTCAACATGCTTTGGACACTTATGAGAGACCATATAATTATATAAGCTCCACATTAAATTTGACTCCTAGTTTGAATTAAGTGGCCATTTATATATTGCAGGCATGACTAATGGAGACAACTCATATGTCGCAAAAGGGTTTTGGACATGCGTGGTCATGCCTTCTGTGAAAGGGAAGCTATGTACACATCTCTCGGACGCATCTTCAACTAGATGCCAAGACAGCCTCTTGTTTAACGCCGCACTCAGGAATATGGTTTAAACATATTTATTTCCAAAAGAGGAACCGGATTGGCAAACAAGCAGTATGGTGCTTATCTGAATACCGCTCCGGAATACAGATAAATTATAGATAAAATAATCGTGCGGAAAAAAGCATGATATTAACAAACGATAAACAATAACTTTCTGGAAATGTAACAATCATAAACTGGAATATAGCCGCTTTTAACGTTAGAACCATTAGTGTCGGAAAATACTTAATAGTAAGTGCAATTTCGTTTTTACTATTACAACACAAATCTGCCTGACAATACAATGAAAGAATGGATAGATTCTAATAATTCAAGATTCCATGCTGATCACTCAGCAATATTCCAGCTAAATGGCGATGGATGCCAAGATAAATCACGTGGGTACCTGGATGCCAAGAGTTTGAGGGTTGACACCCCCATTGTTAAGTTTTGAACATAATATAAGTGTATTTATTGATGCTTCCAAAGCATATTATATTTCTCCTGTAAATATCCAGATGGAATGGGAAGTCAGTTTTAGAAACAAACATTCAAATTATCTCCACTGAATTAAGTATGGCTTGAAACTTCC